CCTATAATCCCAACAGCTAAGGAGACTGAGGAAAGAGATTAGAAATTCAAAACCAGCCTCAGTAAGGCCCTAAGCAATTTAGCGAGATCCTGACTCAAAATAAAAAATTTTTTAAAAAGGGTTGATAATGTGGCTCAGTGGTAAAACCCAGCTCTAAGTTCACTTCCTAGTACCAAAAAGAACAAATAGCTAAATAAATTAATAAAACATATCTATTATTATATTTCAGTACAAAAATTTTCTAATTCTTCATTGGTATTTACTCTTTCCAAACATACAGATTTGCAAGTTTTTTGTTATTAATTTCCAGTGAAATTCCATTGTGATCAAAGAAATGTACTGATTTTTCAAAATGTGCATGAATTATGATCTTAGGTTTAGCTCATGTATCTTTCAGGTCAAGTTTGCTAATCTTATTGCTCAAATTTTTCTAATTCCTTACTGATTTTTTTCTGTGGGGGGGGGGAGGGTGCTGTGATTAAACACAGGGGCACTTACACATTGAGCTATATCCCCAGCCTTTTTTGTTTTGAAATAGGGTCTTGCTAAGTTGCTGAAGGTCTTGCTATGTTATCAAGGCTGTCCTTGAACTTATGCGATCCTCCAGTCACTGGAATTATTGGAATTGCCCCACTGTACCCAGCTTTTACATTTTCTACATTTCCATCGGTTACTGACAGAGGAATGCTAAAATTTCTCATTATGAATATGGATTTGTCCACTCCTCCTTTTAATTCAGTCAACTGATTTTAATATTTTTAAATTTTTTTTAGTTGTAAATGGACACAATACATTTATTTATTTATTTTTATGTGGTGCTGAGGATCAAACCAGTGCATCACATGTGTTAGGTGAGTGCTCCACCACTGAGCCACAACCCCAGCCCCTGAGGTGTTATTAGAAACATATAATTTCAAGTTTTATATATTCTTTGTAAAGTGAATCATTTACTATTTTTAAATCTCCCGCTTTTACTGTTTTTTGTTTTAAAGTCTACTTTATCTGAAATAATTGTCAGCCATCTTTGTATTAATGTTTCAAGCATTTCATATATGTATAAAACATGCCTCTTGAAAGCAGCAAATTTGTTCTGATTTATAACCTCCTTGACATTATTACTGCCCTTTTTACTTTTTTTCCATGTGGGGGATCATACCCAAGGCCTCATATATGTATGCTAGGCAAACACTCTATCACTGTCTTTTTTTTTTTTAGCATTAGGTGGACACAGTATCTTTATTTTTATGTGATGCTGAGGATAGAACCCAGGGCCTCATGCATGCTAGGCAAGCATTCTACCACTGAGCCACAACACCAGCCCATACCACTGTCTTTTTATTGGAATTTTTTTCTTTATATTTAATATAATTACTAATATTTCAATTTCAAACTACTGTCTTAATATCTGCTATTTTTTAATTATGATTATTTTCTTTCCTATGCTCTTTATAGAATTTTTTTCCTCTATTAGCTGTGTTAATTATCCATTCATTTACTATTATTTTAATCCTACCCCTACAGCAGAGTATGATCATTGGCCAAATCTAGCATTCTGATTTTGTAAATAATTTTATTGGAATACAGTCACACCCATTCAGTTACATATGTGTATGATAACTTTTTCCCTACAGCATCAGAGCTGAATAGTTGCAAGAGAGTTTCTAGGCAGGCTAAAATATTAACTATTTGAATTTTTACAGAAAGATTGTTAACCCTGGCCCTAGAGCTTAGAGCAAGCATTCTTAGTTTGACAAAAACTCAAAAAAAAGTAAAAATTTCTACCTCTTGCCAAACAATGTACAGCCCTACAAGTCCTAAAAAATATGCTGGCCTCTAAGAATACAGTGAGGAATAAAACTGATTCTATCCCTTGTCCTATTGAGTTTACAGTGTATAGTAAAGAGATCACTTGAGTTTTTCATAAAGGAGTTTAAATTATGGAAGCAAACAGCTTCCCCTCAGTGTGTCCCTTCTTTGATACAAAGCAATCAGTAAAGACTTGCTGCAAATTAACTCAAAGAAAGCATAAAGAATGTTCCAATAACCTACATCTTTTCCAGCCAGACTTCAATAATCTATTGCCTGTACTCCTAGGATAATATATCTTTTCAAATATCACAGGCAGAAAAAAAGCATTTACTCATATGTTTAATGACAAACACTGAACATGGTGACTTAACTCAGCCTCTGTTCCCTCTTACTTATATAATTCTAAGATCTTTGTCATATTATTAATTTTACATGAACAGCATCATGCTTTTTAAACCCAGACTTTCTAGAGCAGCCAAAGGAAAAGGTGACCTTAAAAAAAAAAAAAAATCAAACTTAGGGCTGGGATTGTGGCTCAGTGGTAAAGCACTTAACTCACACATGTGAAATACTGGGTTTGATCCTCAGCACCACATAAAAAAGAAATCAAACTTAAATATTGAAGAAAGTAGAGCAGGACTATTATACTAAAATTCTAAAAGTTTTTTTTTCCCCTGCTCTATTCCTCCATATGCCAAGATCTACTAAGTAATAGTAAATTATTACTTTGTAATAATAATTTTTAAATTGTCCTCCACGTGAATAGAGAAGAATTCATGGCTTTTGAAATAAGATAGACAGGTTTGAGTCCAACTCCTTTACTTACATTTGAGTTATTTAATCTCCCTGAACCTCAATTACTTACCTTCAAAATTGGATGAATCATAGAGTACTAAAAAATAGTGTTAGTTTCCTCCTAAACCAAGATTTGGCCTCAGAATTCTGTGACAAATAATTTATTTATAATTTATGCACCCTTCTTTTTCCAGAACACTGAACCTTCTTCCTATCTTCTTTAAAAATTATCATTCCCTTTTCTTTCTACTAGCAGAATTTTCAAATCAGGCTCTGGTTTCTGGTTCTTAGACTAGCCATTAAATTTGTAAAAATTTCTCATCTCTTACCATTTTTCTTCATTTGACAAATGTACTGAAGTCAAAAGGCCATTAAGATGTCAATCTTATCAACAATTCCCTTTACTATGCACTCAAAATGTTTACTTAATCACTATCAATGAGTGGAAATACCTCTTCAGTCTCAAACCCTGGTAACCCCATCAAGCATAATTTCAGAGGATTAGTATTAATAAGGAAAATGTTAGAGTCCAATATTTCAATCAAATACTGTATTTACAAAACAGAATTGTCTTCTAAGCAGATGTTCTAATGTATTAGTCCAAAGTAATTTTTGTCGAGCTAGAACATAAGTGTGGAATATCTGTGAAATTTTAAAAGTTTGAATCAAAGTTCTAGACATTTCAATACTATACATAATTGTGACAACTGAGACAAAGAGACAATACAGACAGAAAATGATTATTTGCTTTTATCCTTAAAAGAGGGAATCTTTTATACAGAAGTTCTACGTACCCATCCTTGCATTTTAAAAATTAGTAAGTGAACTCTCAAATAAATGGTACAAAGGCCCCAATGTACAAAAAAGAATGTACACATATTGGAAATTTATTCTGAATATCATCTGTGATCACATTATAATAATATAGTTCTTATCCAAATGTTGTTGCAATAAGGTTTTAAGACATGCCAATAAAATACTTCTGTTTCCTATGTTATTAATTAGTGGCAGCATAATATATAAATAACATGACATTTTAAATTATATTAAGATACCATTAATTATTATAAGAAAAATAGTGTTTTACTTTTCCTTAACTAAACCTGGACATTGGCTGGGGAAGTGGCTCAGGGTACAGCACTAGTACTGAGTTTAATACCCCAGCACCAACCCCCCCCCCAAAAAAAGTAAATAAATAAAATAAATAAGGCCTAAACATTCAGTGTATGCTTTTAACTAAATCTCATTTTATTTTTACTCAATTCACATAAATTTTCTTCAATTATAAAAACTATTTCACTAATGTTGAAAAACCCTGGACCTTTCAATCCCCAATTCTCTCTGGTTTAATTCCCAAGAGTATATTTACTTTTTATTTACATGTTTTTTTCTTCCTAGAACTTATCTTATACTAATTTCACAATATCACTACTAGACTATAATCAAAATAAGTACAGGCCACATGCCTATAATTCCAACAACTCTAGAGGATGAGGTGAAAAAATTGCAAATTCAACCCTAGTCTCAGCAACTTAGCAATTCTGTCTCAAAATAAAAAATAAAAAAGGTGCCCGGCATAGTTGCACACACCTGTAATCCCAGTGGCTCAGGAGGCTGCAGCAGGAGGATCATAAGTTTGAGGATATCCTCAGTAACTTAGCAAGGCCCTAAGTGACTTAGCAAGACCTTGTCTCAAAATAAAAAATAAAAAGGGCTGGGATGTAGCTCAGTAGTTAAGCATCCCTGGGTTTAATCCCTGATACCAAAAATCAATAAATAATTTTTAAAAGACTGGGGGTAAATGGGGCTGGGGTTGTTGCTCAGTGGTAGAATGCTTGCTAGATGTATGAGGCCCTAGGTTCAGATCTTAGTACCACATATAAATAAATAAAATAAAGGTACATTTACAACTAAAATAAACATATCTTAAAAAAAGCAACCTGGGGGCTGGGGATGTGGCTCAAGCGGTAGCGCGCTCGCCTGGCATGCGTGCGGCCCGGGTTCGATCCTCAGCACCACATACCAACAAAGATGTTGTGTCTGCCGAGAACTAAAAAATAAATATTAAAAATTCTCTCTCTCCTCTCTCACTCTCTCTTTAAAAAAAAAAAAAAAAGCAACCTGGGTTAATCCCCAATAACACAAACATACCAAAAAAAGGTCGGGGAGGGAAAAAGAAGAAGTAGAATTTAGTCAAGACAACAGTATGCTACTGAGGGAAGAAATTTACCATAATGATTAAAGTACAGGCTATGAAATTCTAGAGATACATATTTTAACTCTACCATTTAACAGATTGCTAACTAGAGCTTAGAATAGATAGTGCTTCAATATTCACCTGCAGTGAGGCTTAAAACCTAATTCAGAGTCTACTGAGAAATAGAGAGGCTACTTACTGTTAACTGCAACCCATTCATTTAGATCTTCCCCCTCAGGAAGCATGACAGCCATTCTGAGGTTGCCACTGCCAAGTGTGGCTTCTGCATGCTTTAAGAGCTCATACTGGTGAGACCCCTCTGGGATGTTCTTCTTTGGTTTAAAAGTTTTGGAAGAGCGACTACCACTATGAAAAGAAAAAAAGAAAGAAAAAAAGACACTTCAATATTCAAGGCAAGACCTTCAATACAGGCTAGTACCCTGTATTACTGGACAAAAATAATAGAGGTTGCCGGGCACAGTGGCGCACATCTATAATCCCAGCAACTTGGGAGGCTGAGATAGGAGGATCGAAAGTTCAAAGTAGCCTCAGCAAAAGCAAGGAGCTAAGCAACTCAGTGAGACCCTGTCTCTAAATAAAATATAATACAGGGTTAGGGATATGGCTCAGTGGTTGAGTGCCCCTGAGTTCAATCCCTGGTACCAAAAAGAAAGTGATCTTAAACATCCACATCCACAAATTAACAGCAAATATACCCTTAGCTTCCCTCCCCACTCAGCATTAGACCTAAACTTATATCAGCCACATTAAATAATGGCAATAAAACTGCTGTAAATAATATGTTCTCTACTTAAAATAGCAACAAATTTTCTCTACATTCCCTAATCTAACTCCCAAGGAGGAAAAGACCTTTTAACTACAACTCAGCTACTCACAATAAATTAGTGACTCAGGATTACAGACTGCAATCTATAAAAACAGAAAAAGTACTTCCATGATAATCTGTTCTCGTTTTATTCCTTTTTCATCTACAACTCTCTCATTCTAATACAAATGTGTTTCCTTCTTATAAGAAGCATAAATATGCAATTTTATATCAATAAAACACAAAAATTCTAGAGCAAGGAAAAAAGCTAAATATTTTTCTACCCAACTATAGAAAGCATCAGCCACCATCTAATGCAGAACTCTGGCTAAAGGGTTAAGTAACTAAATATCAGTATGGCTTGTTTGCTCAAATTTCTGAATGTGTATCTAGACACATAGTGCATGTATGTATACATATACATAGAATCGGCACATCATATCCATGGTTTCTGCATCTGTGAATTTAACCAAACAATTGAAAATACTTGAGGGGCTGGGATTGTGGCTCAGTAGTAGAGCGCTCGCCTCTCACGTGTGAGACCCTGGGTTCGAGCCTCAGCACCACATAAAAATAAATAAGTGAAATAAAGGTATTAAAAGAAAGAAAAGAAAATACTTGAGAAAAATTCCATCTGTACTGAACATGTAAAGACACATTTTTTTGCCATTATTATGAAAAACACAGCATAACAGTTATTTACACAGCACTTACATTGTATCAGATATTATAAATACTCTAGAGATTAAAGTATATTAGGCTGGGGTTGTGGCTCAGTGGTAGAGTGCTTGCCTGGTAGAGTGCATGTGTGAGGCACTGGGTTCACTCCTCAGCACCACACACACAAAATAAATAAAAACTAATATTATTTTTTTAAAAGTATATATGTGGATGTAGACAGGTTATATGCAAATATTACACCATTTTAATAAAAGAAACTTAACCATCTGCAATTTTGTATCTGAGAGGGATCCTGGGCCCAATCCCTAATGGATATCAAGGGATATATAAATATAATTAAGCCTTCCAAGCTTGAGGCTTATTTCACCTTCCTCTTCGTTCTCTCCTTTCATCAAATCTAGTATGAAAAACCCGAAATTTAGTTAGTTAATTTATGTAAACAAATGTACTTCACCAGTCTATTTTATAAAAGATACTTTACTAATTTATGTGTGATCAATTACAAAAAATATCTTTCCTATGACTAATGTGATATAAACCTTAACTGTACTCCCTTTAATTAACTCACCACTTGGATGGCTTGGATCCAGCAACTAAAGATGTGACAAGCAACTCTGAAAAGGGTTATTATAAATAGTACCCAAGAACCTCAAAGACATCAGCTATGCCAGTACTTAGGCAGGTCAGAGGCTCATCTGCCCCCCAAACCCTCTACTAATCAAATCTCTCTGTCCTCAAGTTTTAGGTTTCAGAATGTTTTTTTGATCAATGCCCCTCTCTTGGAGTAAATCTTTTACCAGTCTACCTCATAAGATTTTATATTTTGGTAGAAAGAAAGGAAGAAAATAATCTGAGACTGATTTTATGAAGCCCAGCATTGACACATATAAGGCTATATTATCTCTGGCAAATTACCTATCTTTAACAGTGAAAGCCTAATAAAAATAACAAAACATCACCAATACCTATATAATAGAAAAGTAGCAAAAGTGAAAAAATAACATGTGAAAAGCTTTTTTAAAAATATTTTTCTTTTTTAATTGTAGTTGGTCACAATACCTTTATTTTATTTATTTATTTTTATGTGGTGCTGAGGCTCGAACCCAGTGCCTCTCATGTGCTAGGCAAGCACTCTACCACTGAGCCACAAATCCAGCCCCATGAAAAGCTTTTAAAACTGTAAAATACTATGCAACTATTAGTATTTTCATTACCTTCCCTTTTCTGAAATCAAAATAACTCAAAAAAAGAAAGAAAAGAAATAATAAGGCAATACACAAAGCTAGATTCAGCACCCAATCCCACCCCTATCCACTAAGAATAGATGGGGGGAAATATAACCATAATATGAAAACAAATAGCTTTTCATATATCAAGTTCAAAGCAGATTTTTTTAAAAAAATTCTGTTTTATGTATATGTGTGTGTACTCTTCCTTATGCTCACTTGCATCAAGATTCAAGTGACCTCAGAATAAGCTCAGGGCTATATTGGAAATCAAGAAAATGAAGGTCTATTTCTTCATTTTGCTATTTTCTTCCTCTGTTACATAGGAAACCAAAAATTATCACCTGCTCTTCAATTTTTGTTTTGTTTTGTTTTTTAAAAGTCTAGAAAATGACTTTGTACAAAATAGTATAATTTAGAGATGTTTTATAAAATGTTTTTAGTTCCTTGCAGACTCCTAATTCTTTCTTTTCTGTCCTGTTTCTACATACATTCATACCTCCAAAATAAGTCCTCTATCTAATTCCCTCCCATCTAGAGGGGAAATCTGACTTTTATGATTAATTCAGGCAGAATATCCTAACTTCAATACTTTTAAGATATTCTTTTTAAAAACTATTATTAGACATTTTACTCAATTCTTATCTGCAGCTTCTCCTACCAGAATCTACCCTACATTGGAAGGGGTGATCAATATTGCTCCTCATTCCCACCTCTAAAGACCAATGATAAAAGCCCTTAAATTCAAAAGCACAAACAGCAAAGTATGGACACAAAAGTCCAACAATAAATGCAAGTTCTTATAGTAACAATGTATGGCAAAACCCATGTATCTTACACAGCATTTTAAGATATATAAATGCAAACCTTCAAATAAATTTTCAAAAAAGTTGCCCTTTCACTCCACTCTCAGAAGAAATCACAGTTTCCAGTATCCTGTGTATCTCTGTAGAGTCCATGCCTATCCAAGCATAAGAATGTTCATTGGCTATTACACTATTGTAGCCATACTGTAGTATATATACTAAATAGTGTTTTTTACTTAATATATCTAGAAGATTGTTGTATACTAAGGTATAAGTAAGTCTACCATATTCCTTCTAAATTCCTTCAGATTTTATAACTATTTCTTACATGGATATATCATGGTTTAATTAGTCCTCTAATAATAAACATCTATGTTGTTTCTAGTCATTTGCTACTGCAAACAATTCTGCAGATGCAGGATAAATTCCTAGACTTGGGGTACTAAAGGGCATGTACACTTTTAAACTTTGTATCATGCTTATTCTTCCCCCAAGTAAATTACACCCTTTTAAAATTCCAATAACAAGTCCTAGAGCAGTTTATTTAGGGGGACAGGAATTAGATTGCTAATTTCTCTTTTCAGCCCCCAACACAGAATCAAAAGAATTTAGAACTTTCTGAATGAAATATGAATAATGCAATCACTATATATAAGGAGTGCCAGGTTAATAGTTTTTGGAAATATCCTGAAGCAATCACTTTCTAAATAAACATACTATATACTCAGGTTTGTTTTCCCTGATCCATTTACGCCTCTTTGAAGGCAAAAAAATTGGGAGGATTAAGACAGGGTGGTTTATCTAGTAAAGATCTCGGTCCTGCCAGGCACAATAGTGCACACCTGTAATCCCAGCAGTTTAGAGGCTAAAGCAGGATTGCAAGTTCGAAGCCTGCGTAAGCAACCTTGTAAGACAGGTCTCAAAAAAAAAAAAAGATGCCATTGTGGCCCAGTGGTTAAACACTCCTGGTCCAATCACTGGTATCAAAAAAAAAAAAAAAAAATTCAGTCCTAGTTACAGTTTTGAACACATTTCTCTTATGCTCTTCCAATATGATTTACCTTTTCAAATTTCAACATTATTTATTTCCCCTTTGAGATTCTAAAGATATATTAAGGGGTTGCTGTTGTGGTTCAGTGGTTATTACGTGTGAGGTACTGGGTTCGATCTGCAGCACCATATAAAATAAATAAATAAATAAATAAATAAATAAAGGTATTGCGTCCAACTACAACTAAAAAATAAATATTAAAAAAAAGACAAGCCACAGACTAGCAGAAAAATCTCTGTAAACCACATATAGTATATGATAAAAGACTTATATTCAAAATATACAAAAAGCTCTTAAAATTCAATAACAAGAAAAACAACCTATGGAGCCAACCTAGGTGCCCTTCAACAGATGAATCAATAAAGAAAATGTGGTGCTGGGCACGATGGCACACATCTGTAATAGTAATCCCAGCAGCTGGGAAGGCTGAGACAGGAGGATTGCAAGTTCAAAGCCAGCCTCAGCAATTGTGAGGTGCTAAGCAACTCAGTGAGACCCTATCTCTAAATAAAATACAAAATAGGTCTGAGAATGTGGCTCAGTGGTCAAGTGGCCCTGGGTTCAATCCCTGCTTCAAAAATACGAAAAGAAAATGTGGTATTTATACACACAATAGAGTATTAGTTAGCCATAAAGAAGAATGACTTTATGACTTTTGCCATTAAATAGATGGATCTGGAGACTATCATGCTAAGTGAACTAAATGTCAAGGGGCTGGGATTGTGGCTCAGCGGTAGACGACTTGCTTAGCATGTGTGAGGCCCTGAATTCGATCC